GGCGCAGATGTACATATATCTACCAGCATCTGAATGTATGTTTTCTCTGGCGTAGGTCTATTTCTCGCCAACCCGATATTTTCCGGATCTCGACGAGCAGCTTCTGTATAAACCTTTTGACGAGCTTCGCGCCAAGCTCTTGTGGTGATGGTGAGATCGTTATTGGTCTCTTCCATTTCTTCCGAGAAACGTTTAGTTTCATAGGTGGAAGCATGCTTGATCAGTTCAGGAGCCGATTGTTGAAGCATGAAATTGGCATAATCGAGTTGCATTAGATCGATGAAGCGCATCAATGCTTGAAGACGATCGACGAAATCACCTTCTCTGAGAGTATTCTCAGCAAGAATTTTGACCTCATCATCTCGGAAAGGAGCACATAATCGAGGTAAAATATTGCCCATGAAATTGAAGAAAGTTTCGTAAGAAAACCTGCCATTCTTGAGTTCTGATGCTACCAAATCCGTATCGAGTGAATCTTCAATGAGTTTGTACATTGAATTTCCAGGAGTAAGAAGACGTTGAAGTTTACCCTTGATGTTATCGGCCATTGCAAGAACCCAAGGATCACTATTCCCAGCTGCGACTTCTTGTCTCATGGAATCAAAGATAAGTTGATTAACGACCCCTCGCTGTTGAAGACAATCTTCCATCGAGATACGATATTCTTTATTAATGGCCAATTCATGAACCAAAGTTCGATTATCGGGAAGTATCGAATTAACTGATCTTAAATTATCTGCATCGGTAACGTGTCCACGACGTTGTTTGATAGGTGTAGCAGGTGGTGTGAGAGTTTGTAAATGAGATGCAACGGCATTATCGGAAGCATTAAAATCTTCAATAACAGGAGATGCTGATCCAGTTTCCGCCGCACGAGGTTTCGAATCCCCAGTAGGTTTTTTGGTTTGTTTAACCTTTCTTGCTTCTCGGATGGCATTTGAAATCAATCGTTTCCCCTGAACTGGACCGGCAAGTCTCTTGATCCTAACCATCAATTTAAGTTGATTGTCTCTGATTCCATCACGATATGAATCAGTGACAGATTCTTCCGTACTATCTTTCACAGTTTGCCATATCGAATCTAATTCTACAAATTGTAAAACCATCATATCAATGAGCGTACTTGCATCTCTAGATTTCCAAGCGATAAAAGCATTGAAGAATGTTGCATAAACTTCCGACAATGTTGAAAGCTGAGCTGGAGGAGGTGTGTAATTGTTTGCAGTTGTCAATCTAGACAAAACAGTTTCAAAGGAAATAAGTAGATCTCGGGCTTTTGCAACGAGGTCCTGCAATTGTGGATTAGCCAAATCATCCCTCTTCATTGGTTGCGCTCCTACCTGTTCCTGTTCTCCTTTATCACCTTTACTACTCAAAACCTGTGTAGGGTGACCAAGGATAAGGAAAGCGCTGAGAAAGGTTCGGACTGCTGTCATTTCATTGACTGATCCGCTTTCTCCTTCTTTGAGTCCACAAATTCTCAAAATATGTGCCGTACTGAGGAGAACTTTCTCTTGTGCCAATAGATCAACCACTTTCTCAAATGAAGTCTCGCGAACCCCGTCGATTGTGAGCCCCAGTTCTGCAAAATCATGTAATGCCTTCCAACGTCGATGAATTCTCCATCTAGTTTGAATTATCTTGGCTGCCGCTGATTCAGTAAGTGGTGCTTTCTTGTTCTCCGCAACTGGACTTGGACTTGAACTTTTTCTCATATTACTCAGACTTCTTCCTCGTTGTTTGCTGTTGTTGTTTCGACTCAATATTTCCTCTCGCCTCCTTTCAGCCTCGGCAAGTTTTTCCTCCATCTCCTTTCTAAGCTTCTTCCCTTCTAGTTCCCTTCTCTCTTTCATAGTCTCCGCAATTCCCTTTGCCCTCTTCACTTCCTCGGCGCAACTCGCTACTATCTCTGCCAGATTCTTCTCTCTCGCTTGTTGCGCTGCTAAAGCTCTTTCCTCCGTGTTCGTGGTACTTCTCGGTGCTGCCTTGGCTAATGCCGCTCTCAATCTAACTTTCTCCGCATGCGCTGCTCTATCGGCCAATCTAGCCTTTCGATCTTCCAGTATACTCGCTCTACGTAGATGTTGAGCGATATAATTACTCTGCGGACACGGCATACCGGCGTGGCCCGCCGCATGACGACTCGAGCCATGTGAATGAACTGATGAAATGGAATTTCGTCTCGAGGATGCAGCCGAAGATTTCCGTCGATTGTTGGTGGGGCGATAGAATCTTGCAGCGATGCGTGGTGGTGGTGTATGAATTCGATTTGAAGGGGAATCTTCCCTCTCGGATATGAGATCGAGGTCTATGGGGTCTTCTGGCATACCGGTTGATTCCATAATGTTACGGTCGGGATCGCTCATATCTTGAGATGCACGACGCATTGTGTATATGTAGGGTACTTTGGGTGGGGCGGTGGGTTTTTGTCGAGGATGAAAGTTGAAAGCGATCGCAGGTTGCAGATGGTGGTAGTTGCTGGTTGCTTGGTGATGAATAGCTTGGTATGTAAATATGATGTGATTGAAATGGAAATGATGACTGTTTCGCAGAGTGAATCCTGGTATTGAATTGAATTGAATTATGAACCGTGCATTCGATTTGAATCCAAAAGTCCCACGAAGATGGTAAAAATACAATAAAGATGTGAAAGGGGAGAGGGTAGAGGGGAGAGAGTAAAGAGTAGAGAGTAAGAGTAAAGAGTACAGCAATCTTTCGTATCCGCCTTCCAGAAGAATTGAGGATAAGGTAATGTATCGATCGGTAATGCAATGCAATGTAAGATGGAAAGTTGGGTAGAATACCTCAGTACCTAGGCAGGCACGGTTGAATAAAACCGTGGAATGAAGTTGTACAATGAATGGATGAAGAAATGGATGAAGAATGGATGAATGAATGAATGAATGAATGAAGTCTGTTTAATGGAAAAGGCTGGTTTGGATGTGAAAGGTTGAATGCGACCAATGTGAAGATTGAATTCGTAATCTTCGAGTCATGATACTCGTACAGTGCGGGCGAGAGAGAGTGAGGTGTGATAATGGCAATGAATGGTGTCGAGAGAGAATCAAGTTCCAGACATTGACAATGCGAAGGGGCTTTGGGCTTTGGGCTTCGGCCTTTAACCTTTTCTTATTGGGCTTGGCTGAAAACGACGATTATGCGATTGTGCTTAGTGATGGCATGGGAGGGGATGGGGAAAGGAAAGGAAAGAATCACATGGAACATTGAGAGGGAAGAGAAGAAAGAAGATTGTCAATGTTAGTTAATATTGATTTGATGTTAATATCATATCAACAACATCTACAATAAAATCTATATTTAAAATCTATATTCAACATTTTTATTATAATATACAATTTCATCAAATATTCGAGTATGTATCCCTCCCTCACTACTATTCCACCAGACGCATTCTCCTTCAATCAAATCTTCAGACCCTTATCTCCAACTCCCCCCATACGATCCATCAATCAATCATCATGACTCTGCCCACATCATACGCACATACATACTACATACTACATACTACATACATACCACATACTCTACCTATCAAAATACATGCGTGCCATAGAATGTCTTACCTTCCAGACAGACAAATCCCCACCGCATTTCAACATCATACATACCATACCCCGAGTTCCAACTTCCAAGGTCATACTCGTAAGATACACAGTATGCAAAATACGCTTTCTCCTTTCTCATTCGTCGAAAGAGTCTCCTCATACTGATTCCATGACCCATTCCATTCCATCATGATGCATCAGACAGACAAATCACACACCAGACGAGAGTCGAGATGGATATATCAAACAAATGATCTTCCGGGGTACATACTAGATCCAGTATATTATTTCCGATCTCTTCAATTCAAATTTCTTCATTCTGCACTCTCACTCTCCGTTGGAGAAAAAGTTCATTTCGGATGAGGTGTCCAAGAATAGATTTCCCGTTGCTGTGAAATTTAATGCCAGTGCAGTGCAATAAGTGATATGTTTCACTTGTTTTCGAGTCCCCTACTTCGAAAGTGGGAGGTAGCTGAGTAGCCAAATGAATGATTACGAATCTGAGGTTGAGGATGAGATAAGAATGAGAATTGTTAGTACAACTTTCTTTGGGATTCAAGTCAAGAGTAAGATGGCGATGTAGTAATCAAGCCAAATGCTTGAAATCCATCGCGTACCACATGATAGATAGTATTTGTAGTGTGGTATGATTATTCTCCAAAGGAATTAGTACTACCCCTCCACCGTTCTCCATCAACTGTCCAAATCCTCCGTACCCGTGTGGCAAATTCAAATGTTGCAGTCACAGATATTTGTTTATTCACTCATTTCATCACATTATTGTAGAGTTCAGTGTGAAAATCCATGGAACATGGGTACCATCGTTGATTGATTTTAAGCTACCTAGGTATATACAAGAATATAACACTTTGCTGACAAGCAACCTTGTGTACTTGACATCACACTTCCTCAATTGTTTACATCGTCCTGCGCAGCACATCGAAAGAAGAGAAGAATAGAAGATTGCACAATAGCATACAAGGAATACGTTCATGAATCTGTAAATTGAGACGCTGATGCAAAAAACTATCCTCCAAACCCATCGTGGCATCATATGCAAGAACTCCATAGAAGTGTTAAGTCATAACCAGATGACCAAAAACATACAAGCAAGCAAGAGGTTCAATAAAAACACCAAAAACGCATACATAAACTCTAAAAATGATAATGCACAAGAAAGTATTTGGTTTTTGTTTTGTCTTCATTGATATCAATCCCTTACATCAATCCCCAATCTTCTAAACTGTCTGATCCTGCTCCATCTTCAAATCCTCTTCATAAATATTTGGCAATAAAAAAACAATGTACAATTAACAAAGGAAACCTCCACCTCAACATCTTTACTCATACACAATCACTTACTTCGCTGTCAAGAAGCAGTTGATCACATCGAGTTCAAGGATATACAAAATTCATTCCTTTTGTGGAAAGAATTTAGTAACCAGTTGGCTTGGCACCAGTTGGCTTAGCCTTGCTGGTCAAGAAACCAGAAGATGCGCATCTGGACTTCTTGGTGGAAGTAACAACAGTTCCGTTGCCGTACATTGGGATGGAAGTGACAGCGGCGGTGGTAGCTGGGATTGGGACAACGGTAGCAGTGCTAACAACGACGGAAGCATCGGTGGTAGCAGCGGCAGCGTCAGTAGAAACAACAGCGGTTTGGATACCGGAGAGAGCACCAGTGGCATCAGATCCAGCGGCAGCGGCAGTCTAGAGATGATTAGTATGATGAGTTTTTGAAAGGTGCAAATGATTAAAAACTTACAACGGTGACGGTTTGAGCGGCAACGGTAGCAGTGACGGTGACGGTAGCGGCCTCGGCGCAAGCACAGGTCTCAGATCCAGATGATCCGGAACCGGAAGATCCAGATCCAGCTCCAGCTCCAGATCCAGTGGTCTCTCCAGAGGAAGCACCAGCGGAAGCGGATGGGGAAGCGGATCCAGCACCTGAGACAATAGCGCTAACACCAGGGAGACCAGTAGCAGCAGATCCAGATGAAACAGCTGAAACGGTGACGTAGTGGGTAGAGGTGGAGGTACCGTAGACGGTGGTGGTTTGGGAAGTGGTAGATTCACCAGCAGAAACGACACCAGCCTCGGAAGAAGCAGCGGCGGAACCAGCTGGGGAACCGGCACCGGAAGAAGCGGCAACGGTTTGAGTTGGGGTAACGGTGGCGTAGATGGTAGAGGCGGAGGTCTCAATGATGGTGGTGGTGACAACGGTGGTGGAAGAACCGGAGCCGAGAGTGTAGGTTAAGGTGTGGCTAGCGTTAGTAGTGACGGTTTGGACGGCGGAAACGACACCAGTTCCGAGAGGAACGACGACGGAGGATGGGGAAGATCCAGATGGTGCAACAACACCTGAGGCAGCTGGGCTAGTCTCAACACCGAGAGCAGTTGATGCTGCTGACGAGGAGCAAGCAGTTGGGGTGACAAGGGATCCGTTGCTATCATATGGAGAGTATCCGAGGCATGATGCATAGTTGGAAGCACAGGTGGCTCGGTTTGCATCTGGAGCACTTCGGCAAGAGTTGTATGATGCATTACATTGGGATACGCAAGCATCAGCTGTGGCGGACGGTGTGGCGGATAAAGCCGTAGTTGAAGCACCAACAACTCCGCTGGAAGCAGCTGGGAGAGCAACGGTGGTGGTGGCACCGTAGAAAGAGCTTTCACTGGCAGCACTGGCAATGGCAGATGAGAGGGATGCAAGAGCAGATGTCAAGTGCTTGCTAGTGATGGCGGCGCTAGCAGATTCGGCCTCGGTGACTGGGCAAACAGTGGTGGCCAAGGTAACGGTATCGGTAACGACAATAACTTCTGGGGTGGTGGAAGCTCCCTCAGCGGCAGAGGTGGCACGAGCTGGGCAGTTGGTGATGGAAGCAGCGCATGAGGTGATGGTTCGGACGGTGGTAGCGAAAACGGTCAAAGTGGTTTGGCCGTTATCAGTAGCGGTGGCAGAGACGGTACCGTTGTTAATACGCTTTGGGTGGTAGTGAGCTGGTTGATAAGCGGTGGCAGCTCCGGCCAAAAGGGCCAAGGAAGCAGCTGTGAAATGCATGGTGATTGATATCGAAGGATATATGTAAATTCTAGATTCCTCGTAAATGATATGTTCCTTCCTGTTGCGATATATTCCCAAGCAATCAATGCTATCCTAATTGTGTCTAAAAAAATCCAAAGAAGAATGGCTATGTACCCAAAATGTTTTTCTTTTTAGTGTTAAACTTGTGTGTGAGTGGTCGTGATGAATCGTTTGGGTTAAAGAGCGAAAGTCGATTCCGCAAAAAGGTGTATGCTTTCAAGGTAAAGAGTGACTGTAGAGTTGGAAATAGAGAAAGGAACTCTTTTGTGCAAAAGGGACTTGGTAATGACTGTGTAGTGATCAAGGAAGATCTTGTGTTGGAAAAGGAGGGTGGAGGAATCTTTTAAAGAAAGGATGAGGAAGGGTGCGGTGCTCCTCGCTATAGGAGAATTTATTAAAAGGAAATGGGCAAAACGGACGGGGAGGGTGGGCACAGAAAAATAATGAGTGGAACCCTGGACAAGTGGGATTAATTATGAATTGAACATGGATGAGGGGGAGATTCCTGGTTCGAATGCTACCTACTTGGTCCAAGACTCCAAGGAGAATAAAATGTGTTAAGGATGGATCCATGGGGAAGGGGGTTTGTATGGTATGGCTGGTATGGGATGGTACCACTCTCCATTATAACGCTGAGGGAAAAAAGAGACTTTTTTTTCCTTTCGCTTTGCTTGCCACATTTTACATCCAGACGGCGCGGTTCCAAAGCACATGGGTGCGATGCAGGTACAGCTAACCACCCCAGTCATTAAGAGGATCTCACCGCAAGTGACCCTTGAAAGTCATCGGAACCTTGGAAGGCAAACGCTTGGAGGATTGCTCGGTTTTGAGAGGCTATGTGATTATCTGTTCAGGGGTTAGTAATATCCCGATTCCTCATGTTTGTGCGAAGAGAACCAATCACGATGCGCGGTTGCGGGAGAGTTCTGCGTGTTGCATCGTCTCTTCCAATGAGAGGGAAGATAGGGGTATTCTGTAAGAAGCATGGCCACGGATGGGTGGGTGATGGAATCATTACTCAAAGAACACAAGTTTGCACATCGGGATGGAAGCTAGAAGGATAAGATAAAATGCCACTCCGTATAAGGTGATTAGATGAATAGATGAAGAGATGAATTCCGATCCATAATTCTCAGCATCTTCTGGTTTCCTAATGGGCGGAGCAAAACCGGTCCAAGCAAGCATTGAGAAATTGAAGGGCACTAATCTTCGTTTCAAAGGATTCGGTTGGCTTGCTCGACTCAATTTTCATGAGGGTTGGTGAAACCCCGACTATAATTTTTCCCTACGCAGTAGTGTAGTGTAAAGTTGTAAACAGCCTACCTACCCGTGCTACCTACCTACCTACCTCAGCCTACCTATGGTACCTAAAGTCCTAAACAAACAAAACGGACACTAAGTTTGGGTAGAGAAGAAAAGGTTAATTGAAAGATCGTGATTCATCAGATCACACATTCATTCTCCTTTACTTGTCTGCATGAATTTGAATCTTTGGATGATACACTTGCTACTCAGATAAAATGAATCGTTCATCCCGTAGTCGGTATAGTTGGACGATTACGACATTTTGTTTAAGCCTCTTCGTTTTGGATGTTTCTTCTGCTTGAATGCGAATCGAATCGCATGGAATGATCTATGTATGTACTGCATCTATGCATTTAGGTATGTATGCATGTGTGTATGTATGTATGTGTATATGATCTGATATGAAAACATAAATTGTGGATAATTCAATATATCTATGCGCGCAATTTATGTACGAAGTATGTATGTACTGTAAGTAGGTTCCTAGATACTCTTACATCGTATCTCGTAATTCAGGATTCATCTTGTCAATTCATGGCACCACGTACGTATTCCTTAGGCAGATTACAGTTGGACGAATTGGTCAAGAGTATGTAGATGTGATGACGACTTTTCACATATCAAGAGCAACAGACTTTCGGAAATTAATTATCTGTTGGCTAAGATGGGAATGATTGGTGAAGGGAAACTTAGATAGAGGGGATTTTCTTAAATCGCACACAAACTTCCTTTTTTCTCTCTGTACGATGTGTTGTGCTTGGTGCTTGAACTTTTGATTAATCATGATTCATAATTTACTTTTTGAGGTAATTGATATACCAAGAGAGCCAAGCTTTCCGTGGCCGACCTTCAATTTCATCTGACCGTCTTTAATTTCTGTCCAGGTTCATTTCGGCATGTGGTGTAAATTTCCCCAGTCTGGATGTTGAAGTACGAAAACCCCCTCATTGAGACGATACCGGCCGCCCGTGTATTGTCCACTTACTCATGGTCCGATGGTCGTCGAATAATCAAGCCTCAAAGTCTACTCGGTCAAAGGTTTGATAGATTGGTGGTGTTGTTAGTATAATAGTATTAGTGCTATAGCTTGTCAATAATCTATCAAGCGATTCAAGCCCCTTCATCGGGAGCTTCCACTGGCGCTTTAGACCGGACTCCTTTTCGTATTTGCTTCTACATCGTATTTGCTCAGCCATCATCATTCACGACACCCGAAGCTTCAAAAATGTATCAACAACCACGAAGAAGTCAATGATATCGTTACCAAACCCAAGGTAAGGTAAAGTTCACGAGGCGCAGTGTTTTAAAATAATCATCTTAGCATCATGCATCACCACCTCATAAGGCAATAGGGCAAAGCAAAAACAAATCTAATCTCCAATCTTGATCGTCTCTACGAATAAAAAGGTCGATCATAAGGCCACGGCATTTGTTTTTTCTTCAACCGCCTTGATCTTTTCTTTCTTCTTCAGCCCAAAGTGTTCAGTTACTCAAACGCCGAACGAAACGGTTGAACCTACAAAACAAATGCTCATCGTTGTCCAATCTGATCCCCACAACACAGCACAGCTCTTCACTTGAACATATGGCGCATCGCACAACGGTTCATGAAACTGTGCCTGCATAAAAGCAATCTCATGTCCACGACGATCTTCACCCGTCCTGGCCATTTCCCTGCACCCAAAAAAATATTACCCCTGAATATGCAAACGCCTATCAAACACCCCGGACTGATAAGTCATAATCCAAGAGCATTATTGACAAAAATCTATGGGATATCCTTCACGACACACAAGATTGTTCTAGATTTTTCACTCTTGTACTCCGTAAACGCCCAGCTACGCGCTCTCCACTTCTCCAATATGAGATGAGAGTTCGGGAATTGGTCGAAATCGAAAGGAAGGAGAAATTTCATGTCTCGGACCATGGATTCCAATTCATCCATCACTCTCTTCCATTCCTCCAAAATAAAATACTCAATCTCCAAAATGCGTATCCTTCATCTCGTCACTCTAGAAGACTCTTTGAGCGCAAGTCCCCAAAATTAGCCTTCGATCTCATTCTAGCCTTCACACGGATTACTTATACGGAATAGCTTCCTATCCACAAAACATCCATGATCCATCCTTACCTAATCTCGTGTTTTGCCAAGCTTGGTACCCATGTGGCTTTCTAAAAGATGACTTTATATTAACCTTCCCAAGTACAGGCCAAAAAGTGTTTCGTGTTAACGTTAATTCATTTTAAACCTTACGGAATGATGAAAACCTTACAAATGTACAACTAGAAAAGGTAATGGAATTCCTGGCCGTTGAGATTAAACTGGCTGTTTCTGGTAGGTGTTTTGATTTTGTCTTTCGATAGTTAAGTTATTGAGGGAGAAGTTTGGTAGGTTCCACTTGTCTTTGGTAAGGCGGGATGGGAATCATGGGATGAAAGCGCTAGAGGGAGGGAGTGCAGTGTTGAAGATGGGAAAACTAAAGATAGGCTATACGGCGTGTAGAGCATGAGTATGAGTAAATGTGATTGATTACCTATGTAGTTATCGCAATCAGGACTGGTGGACTCGGTATGGCGAAGCGCTGGATGACAGGTTTATTTTCAGCGAATTCATTACCATGGTCTTCCTTCCTTCCATATAAACTTTTTGTAGCTAGAGTACCTAATCCATCATCCAATACTACCTAGCTACAACTCAAATATCAATCAATCAATCAATCAATCATCAGTCATCAGTCATCAGTCAATCAATCAATCAATCCATCAATCAATCAATCACCATCTGAACACAACTAATCCTTCCTCTCCTTCCCTTTCCTTTACGGGAAACGGTATCTTTGGTACGCTCCCAAAATGGGTGGATACTTTGACAATATTTCCCCATTCCAGAGCAAGGACAAACCTGGAGATGTCACTGCTTATTCCATCCAATTCATATATCCTCATTTCGCTTCATCTCGTAACGCCCAGAATTCCGTATCCACTGCCTACAAACGAAACTGGAAGTCAGAGTCCTCCATCTCATGTCATTTTATTAAAATGGAAAAAGCACAGAGGCTAGCTTTATCGATCTATCTATCTATCTATCTATTGATCTACTCGACACCCCGTCCAAACATCTGAACTTCATGGCTTGATGAGGGAAACAGGTTGTTTGATGCGGGTATACGGATAGGTTGCAGATAAAATAAATTGCTGTTTGAGGTTGGTTGGGATGTTTACCTGTTAATATGTAGTATGTAGTATGAAGTCTGAATGGGGAAGTAAGCCCTATAGGAATTAGAACATTCTGGATGTGAGGAAATGGATGTTTGTCATTTTGACTCAAGCTTTAGGGATCGGGTAATCTATCTGAGATCGTGAAGTAGATGGATAGATTCATCGCGGAGATGTGAGAGATGTGATGGTGCCAAGTGGCAATCATCAATTTGACTCTTTTGGAAATATATGAATACGGACGAGATTGGAAAACTTCGGCTCCGAAACTATGCCGAAAGTTGTGGGGGCTTCTTTATTTGGGGAGTGAGAGATTTAGGGGGCGCTGGTGGTGTTGAACTACGTATATACAGCTGTATATTTTCTGCTCGTGATGCGATACAGGATTCTAGTCGGATGTGTCGATGTCAATTGTGAGTTTACACTATTGCCCTCATGTTCATTTAGTGTTTGAATATCTAAAAAATGCTTGATGGTCAATTCACGGTTAGTTCGTATTTACATAGGTCTAGTCGATATGTACTTCCGATTTTCTGGGTAGCTTGCCGTTATGAATGTAGTCATTTCAAAGACGCTCTGCTAGCCCTCCGCGGGCCACTGCCGTGGAGGCAGACTATTTGGAAGCAGATATCAACGATCATAGTTGTTGAATTCTGCCCAGTCAGAAAGGTTATCCATGGCTGTCCAGACTCTTATTTAGATTCTTCATACTTTTTAACACCTTCTTGCTTGTGAGGCATGCTATCGCAGAATCTGTAAGGAGATATAGTCCTACGCTCAAGACATAGCGATACTGCCGCTGATTTCAGAGTATGCCTTTACTGATATAGACTCAAGACCAAGTTAAGTCAGAGGGTTGGAATGACGCTCAAACAGGCATGTCCCCAGGAATACCATTGAGAGCAGTGGAATGCATTCAGAAGTCCCAGAAGCTCTGCCGTAGGGACCTGAAAGGAATCACAATCATGTTTGTGAGCCGATGGTGACGGCAGTAGAAGCGCTCGAGTTCCCGGAGCGGGTCTATCATGCCATTATTTGATCCTAGCGCGCATATGATACAGTATCATGATTGTCAATTGGTATGGCCTCCGCAAGGTTCATGGTAATAATCTGTCTGTAGTCTTCTTTGAAACTTGAGCTCCGGTGGCCTGATTTCGAGTGTGTCTGATACATAATGAAACACGGCAACTGAATAGATATCTTATGCTTCGTGATGACATCGTTAGGAATGATAGCACATGGAAGTGTCTTATTGAAAATTACCCCGATTACGACCCACCCAGAATACGGGGTTGCGTCTCCCAAAGAGAATTATGCGAAACACTGCAGAAGTGGGGAGGAATATACGGTGATGGGTTTCGCGCGAGCAAGCAAATGGCTTGTAGAAAGAAACACTCATCTATACAGGGAGTCCTAGACTCCGGAATCCTCGGTAGGAAAAAGCAAAATGCAATTGTAAGATCTCATATAGTGTCGGTATGATGTCAATGAATGCGATGTACTCGACATCCTGTTGTACCATACTTTCAAATCAATCATGGGAGAGATCCATAAGGTCATTATCGTCAGAGGTTGTTTGTAAATTCTTGAGGGAACAGAGCAGATCTACATGTACCGTCCAAATATCAAACTTCACGGAACATCGTCCTGGCACTCCCATGAGGTCAAAAGATCTAAGATTTACCTGCTACGATCTCACTCCGCGTATGACTCTCTGTGTGTTGCCGCTGATGGATATATACTCTTGTGCCGCTTCAACTTCGTGCCTGCCATCTGACTGAATTCGGATACAAAGGTACTTTGTGTCTCGGAGCGTAGCGAAAGAAACTTATGCGTCGGATTTTACGGTATTTTTGTATGGCGTATATTGATTATATTTCTATACTCAGGAATCCAATTTATATGTAGCTATATGATATGTGTGTAGATAGTTATATGATATATAATATTATAAGTTTAATTGTATAAAGAATTGAAAGAAAAAAAAACTACAAACAAAGAATAAGCTTCACTTTCAATCTTTCGATGTTAAAGGCTTATTAGATACCGAATATTGAGCGCTCTGAAATACTGGCGAGCTGCCTCGCCCCAAATGTAATTCTGGACCAGTAAAAGAAAAAGTTGGACTTTTTCTTTCGAACTTTGACAGTTGTGGCTAAGTGGGAAATCCACATGCCTTTCTTTCAGTGCTAATGACACAGTCGGACTCAGCTTTCATACATACTTCTTTGTTCTATCTATAAAAGTAAGCAGATATCCGACAGCATAAAGATTCTAGGGATGAATCAATGTCTCCAAATCATATTATCGAGATGTATTGATATGAGCAGAGGTGCCTCGCATGAAATGTAAGCATGTCTTTTTCAATGAGAAAGACCCCGGGAGGCAGTGTTCATCCAGATTCAGAGAAGACCACACTGTGAGTTGATTTCAAAATACCCGAGAAGTAAGCGAAACGGAGGGCATCGCTACTGTTTTGACTGTAGCGTATCTGTGAGATAAACACAGTTGTAATAATAGTTTATGATGAAAGTCGTGTCTAGGAGCTTATTCAGTACTTTTATATTCTTGAGTAAAGCTGATGATGGTGTGTATTATGTGTGCTGAGTTGAAGTTATTCTCTGGTGGGATTGTCAACACAATAGGAGTTCAATTTCAAGTTGGCTGTACCATTGAAAGCGCTGTGGACGATTGTAGGATCGTGACGCTAGAAAATGGTACAATACGTATAGAAATCATTCAAGCGTTTGAGATGATTGAGCCTCATTTCATGAGAGGAGAATTTTTGAAATAGTGAATTCTACCATGGAAGTGCAACATGTATTTTTTGAATTTCGCTAATGTGCGTGGAATTGAATTATTTCCAGGAAACTCAAGCACAAAAATCATCTCAATTCATACTTACTGATCATACTTGTCACATTCGTAGTTGTCATTCTTCCACACCCTCGATAAATCACTACCGCCTGCCTTTTGTTCCATGGTATGATCTCGGGGTTCCCCTTTCTCGCTTCGCTCGTTATTATTATCTCTGGCGAGGCCGATGAGATGCTCCATCCTGGCTAATTTTCGTGAACTAACTATCTATATATGCTTAAGCTACTATAAAAATGCACGAAAGATAACCAAGCCATCTAATCATCCCAATCCAGATACATTTCTGCAAATTAAGCACTAGGGAGGTTGGATCTACGGACTTTTTGCCGAGAGAACGTAGTATATATTTTTATGATTCGTAACCTCTGACACATACGACCATAGACTAAGGAGAATTGGGCATCCCGTCCGCTCTGCCATACACAAGCCTTAGATCGGCAGATTAGTAGTTGGGTGGGTGACCACCAGCGAATCCCTGCTGTTGTATGTTCTTTTTGATTGTCTTTCTTTTTGGATTTTGCTAGTGGAGGGATTGGAATTTTGCTATTCTGTTGTGTGGAGATCGCACATTCATCTCGCGATCTTTGAGGTCTACTCGGTCTTTTTTTGCGTCGTGGGGTGGTTCTCTTGAATGTTCTTGTTTGGACAGGATCTTGAGATTCGGAATTTTGAACTGTGGGAATTGTTAGGAGCGGGGTGAGATCATTTGCTTGGCGGTATTAGGGATAATTGGTATATCGTGTTAGCACACAAATAATACACGCCTCTTTCAAAGGGCGAACTTCGTGAAGTTCTGGTATTCTTCGAATTGATGACGAAGCACTAGTTGATCAAAAAAGTGCTAAGTGTTTCTCAGTGAGAAGCAGGGTGTACATAGGTACATACACTCTACGTCCCCCAAAAAACACTAATGATACCCGTGGACTTATCAAAAGAACTCTAATACTTCGGAAGTGGCAATATAAAAGATGCGATTTTAGTGGATTGATACATAATCTAGAACCATAGTATTGATAATTCTACAGTCCTTCTACACCTACAAGAACGACGAGAACGATTTCTTCAGCGAGTGTGATATGCTGATAAATTACGCTGCAGTTGACACTTTTAGCGTTTACTGCAAGTTCCAAGCTGGTTTATAGCATCAAGTTTAATGGAGTGTACGGTATACTGTGGCTTATTGGTGGATTATATGATTGACCATATTACTGTCGGAGATACACCCGATCGATGCTCGCTCTAGATCATGGTACTCTAGGTTATATATCATGAAGAATGAAATAGCCGGGATTTGATTAAAAGATGTAGACCTAGGTATTATCTTGACGAGTCTGTTTGTTGAATGCTATCTGCACGCGGGAGATAAGCTATGAGAATACGAAGTCGACAAAGAGGGGTTGGTCATACAAATCATCCACCCCGAGAACGGATTCTCCCCAGGCTATTCATCAAAGCTATGATTCGGTTTGCACATACTATTGCGCAGCATAAGCAACTACGGAGTCTATCAAAGTAGTGGAAGATGACACAAGGACTAGTGAAAGCATCACAGTTTGCATTCTTGAGCCTCACATTTTTGAAAAGCAGAAGTAGATAATTGCCAACTTCTTTGAAAAAGTGTATGTTATAGACCTTGCATTGATGAAAGCCCTTCTGAGTCCTGACTAGCGACATCCATCCTATATCCCGATAGCCAGCCAAACGGCAAAATCAAACTCAAAACCGCATGCGCTTCAATGGCATTGTTGCGCACGAGCAAAGGATGGCAGAGGAATCTACACGCAAACCCCTATTAGTATCTGTGCCATGTAGGTAATATAACGACCAGTTGAAGGCATTAGCTCGAGGGACTAACCGAAGCCAAGATTGGCTCACATCTAAGCCTTGCTAGAGATTGCCCATTCAATGAGGGGTGTAGGTGCTGTTTCTTCCTCGTTGGAGACAGTTCTTGCGGTCTTCTTTGTATCTGCCCACTCGATTATTGGAGCAAGTGAAGCTTCTTCCTCGTCGGCAATGGTCCTTGCGATTCTTTTTGTGTCTGCCCATTCAATCAGAGGGGCAGGTGAGGCTTCATCGACAGCAATATCATTTACTAGAACATGATGTCAGAAAAATTTGTCAGAAATAGATGAGGTGTAAAAGAAGCCATAAGTAGACCATAGTCATCTAGGGACTAGCACGTACCAGTGCGGGGTCTCAACGGGCTTGCTAATGCGAGGACCGCCATAGAAGAAGTGATAAGTGTGGAGAATAACATGACTCTTGGGTTGAACCTGGTGTTTTGTTGGACAGCTTGATTTCGGCCTATAAACTTATGGAATGGTTTGCTTCAAATGAATACACCTGTGCCAATCTCTTGGAACCCGTATCTACTTATATATGTAGATCTTAATTCAAAGCATTACATGTTGAGTGCCACTTTCAACACACTCTATGAGCTTCTTAATCAAGCAATTATATCACCGACCACTGGGAAGTGAGTGTGCCTAATAACAAAGAAGATGCAGCCAATAAGTCACAGCAACTCAACAAGTAGACAAAAGGTACAAGGAGGCAAAGTAAAAGTGTATTTGAAGAGAATCCTAGTAATAATCTGATGACTCGCTGTGAAGCAACGTCAACGCTGATGCAATAACAAAAAAGGATAATCTCAAACATACCCTGCCGTTTGGTAAAGCAGCAATTGCGATCAACACAGATCTTGTCACTCTTGGCCTCGATTGATATCTTCCCAAGCAAGGTATCCATTTACCATGTCGACCGAGGTAGTAATCTGGGGCATGGTTTTCCAACAGACAGCCAACTGCAGCTGAAAGTATCCAATTGAACCTGTACACACTCGGGTCCGGGTAAATATGAGGTAGTGTGCGAAATATTACGGTGAGATGAGATGTCTATATTGCTCCTTGACACATAACACCCTCAACAATTCCATATCGATAAAGGCATGGATGTATTAATTTTCAAGTCCTGAATAAATAGGATGACTGAATTTTGACCAAACCATGACGATCCTCTCGGTCAAACGAGCCCCGATAGAGAGAAGATGTTGAAGCTTGCATGGGATTGTAACGCGTATTTGAGGCGTAGTGAACCGATAAGGAAGCTCAGAGTGGTGCCAAGCCATCGCGCATTCAAATCAATTGTTGATGTTGAGATAATTTGTGGTATGTATGTTTCTAAGACCATTAGACCGACATATAGGTAAAAAAGTAGGGTACTATAGAATTACCTTGTTCTTAGGATTGTGTCGAAATTGAACAAATTTTCAACAGTTTTGTCAATTAAATAAGATATGGGGGTGTGAACAAGGCCTCGGTTATTTCCTTGGTTGTGTTGAAGGAATCCCTACCCGTGTGGTCGGTATCCTAGTTCCGAGCCGGGGCAAGATACGGCGTAAGACGGAAAATACTTCCCATGTTTAGTGTCAGATAAAATGCTCGTCTAGCAATCCTCCAAGAGCGGGCCACAAGGCTTAATTCGACTTGAAGATTCCTATCTCACAGTTCATACCACCAATTGTAGTCGGGCTAATTCCAAGTTAGATTAAGACTCGGAAGAACTGCGATAAGAATAAGCTTCCACACGGCACCGGGAAACGCATCCGCGCAGCAGAAATGTAGGCCGACTCATTAAGCTTAACCCTAACGCTTATAGATCTCCTGTTTTTCACTTGAGACTTCTGTTTATCCACTTCTTTCACTTCTCTAGAATCTTTCTCAGCATTTCATAAGCTTTCGCTTTGAAGCCGAGTTGAAGCGTCCAACATGTCTACCACCTCTCATGAAGGACTGACTGCTGTTGCCAGTAGCATGCTGGCACTCTCGACTGTGTCTATTGCTCTACGCTTTTATTCTCGCCGTGTACAAAAAGCGCCATTGAAAACAGATGATTGGATTATGCTACCATGCCTTGTACGTAACTATTCTGTTTATCTCTGAAGCTAGCCTAGCCGGGTTACAGGAGCTGGTAAACCTTATTACATTACTCTTGGACTGACTTTGAAGTTTGAATATATAGCTACTTCTTGGCGGCACCTGTGGCACTGCGCTCTATGGTGAGATAAATCTACTGTTCTTGGCCGGCACTGGGACGAACTTACATTTTATTGACTCTCAGTGCTTATTTATCTCTTTCATTAGGCACAAACAAAAAGATCCTAGGCTATCCAACACCTAGTGATAAATCTTTAGCTTTGGAGACTGCTCCCATAGCATCAAAGGTACTCATGATTTGACCTAACTGCCTATAATATCAACTAACATAAGCTCAGCTCTACTTTGCCTTCGATTTGTTCTCAATTCTAACTCTAGGGTGTGTCAAAATTAGCGCACTATGCTTCTACTATCGAATCTTCTGCGAGCATGGGCGCCGTACTGCCTTCCGAATACTTGTCATTATAAGCATCGTCGTATGCTCTCTTTGGGTTACAGCATTTTGTATACTGCTTGGACTGTCATGTGGATCTCACTTCTCAGCCCTATGGACTTCTAGCAAGGCGATATTCTTGCAGTATTGTGGAACAAGACCTCACCAATTCTTGCTGAGTTTGTCTATCTCGGATTTTATACTGGACTTCTGGATCATTGCTCTTCCTATCCCTCAGGTATGTTGCAATTGTAACAAGAGATACTGTCAAACTTGCTCTTTTTATTTTACGAGTTCGCGCGCTAAAAATTGTAGATTTTAACTATCAAAACGACTCTCACACGTCGTTTCGCTATTATTGGCGTGTTTCTCTTAGCATTTGTGTTAATCATTTTCCACTCTGAATCAGCTCTAAAGATACTCGTGTTGATCACCACTGGCATATTTTGACTTAGCTAACATATCATACTATAGAGGCTTCGGAGCTTGCATTGCGAGGCTGGCAGTTTTTGTGGAGCTCGACAATCGTGTGAATTTCCTCATCTTAATCCACCCTCCTTACATCCAGATTCACATAATTGGAAAAGACTAACCTCATAAATAGTTCCCGCGACCAAGAAAGTTGACTCGAGACGTAAGTAGACAGCCCCTAATTTCTAATCAAAGGCACCGAGCTGTCATGAGCTCGCGTAGCTTGGAAAGATCATCAATTTAACAGACAGTTCATAGTAACAAATACGAAATCTATCTATCTATCCATTCTCGAAGTAGGTCTCAGCTGCGTTGCAGTCAACCTTCCGTCGCTTTACTACCTTTCGCACAAAGTCACACCGGAGAACGTGCTTCGCAGTGTACGCAGTATTATTTCTCTTCGATCCATTGGCTCTCAAAACAGCAAAGGATACCAGAAATCAAAATCAAGCAAGGACAACCAAAGCGTTGAGAGTCCTTCATTGTCTAATTTGAGACCAGATGATGTCATGGCTATTGAGACACATGCCATGTATGATTTGGAGAGCACGGGACAAGTCTCTGTTCCAAATGATGTGCATGTCACAAAGACTTTATCGCAATCGTCACAAAGACTGTGATGGTAAATGTATGAGATGGTCTGGATGGCTACTTCAGTGGCTGAGTCATTCTCAAAATACACAGCGGCTGAAGTAAAGTTCTTGATTTCAGTGGAGGGTTTATGAATTAACTCTCAATAAAGTAGCTAGCTATAAGGGCACTATTGATTGTTAATAAAAACATTCGGTATATTCTATCGAAGAAATTGTAATTGAGCAGACTGTGTCTTGATCCTGAGAGGGTATACAGAATAATTTTCGCTGTGTTGAACACATCCTAATTGATAATCCCATTGAAGAAATTCATTCTCTACATCTTTCTCAACAAGAAATAGCAAAAACATGTGAAAAAATAATGGTGGAACAATAGTCTTTGTGAGATTTTATGAGTGAAATTACGGGTATAAGAATTGGATACCCTGTGGTGATGATAGGTTTCGAGATCACGTTCAATATTGAGAAGCTAGTTACACCCGAAATGCAACTTTAACCCCATTTTTGCTCTCCGTCAACGCTTTGACCATACCAACATATTCTTCGACCGGATCCCTATTTTCAATCATGGTAAACTCTCGTGTGAGTCTGACTAAGAGATAGATCGATTGAGTAAGCACTTGCTGTTGAGCTGGGCAAATCCTTGGTCCTCCGAGGAAAGGTACGAACTCCCACTGAAACTGCTTTTTAGGATCGAACCATCGCTGAGGTTTGAATTCATTTACGTCTTTCCCCCAGATATCTTGGTCATGATGAAGACCCCACAAGTTTAAGGCAACTACCGTTCCTTTTTCTACATAAATTGGGGATGTTCCCGAAGGTCCACCACCGGTAGGTAGAACCGTATCTCGTGTTGCGGTTCGGTAAATTCGTCCAGATGGACCTTGATATCTAAGGGTTTCAAAAAGAACGTATTTGAATAGTTGAAGTGATTTGAGGACCTCGAAGGTTAGAGGTCGATCGCCCAATGCCAAGCTGTCATTTCGGAGCTGTGTCCAGATATTTGGATTCCTCGCAAGATGAAAGAGTGTGTTCGAAAGCATGACAGCTGTTGTATCACGAGCTGGTATAAACACATTCAAGACCTGAAATCGAAGCGCGACAGGATCCCGAATCTGCTTGGCCATTTCCAATAGCAGAATGTACCGTGTAGGTTTTTTTGTGTCAGCATCCATGGTCCCAGCTTTTGATTCGGAATTCTCAGTTTCTTTCAAAGCCCGAGCAACATGGACGTCAATGTATGAGTGAACTACCCCACAAGCTTCCTTCCAGCTCTTGTCAAAATTATGCATAAAGCGTTTGAATCTTGAGAGTAATCTTCGTTTTCCTACCCCAGCCAGTGAAGCATCAAATGCCGCAAGTATCTCCGCCGAGTTATTTGGATCATCAGCTAATTGAGAATCGATTGACTGTCCCATTAAGAATTCAGTAGCTGTGTCAAGGAACTATACATCTGTAAGCAGATTTTAGTGTGGGAGTAGACCAAGAAACATTACCAGTTTTCGCAAAGGTAGTTGGAGATCAATGGTAGATCCATCTCGAGGAATCATGTCAATCAGCCTATCCACGTGTTTTCCGATGATCTCAACATCCGATACTTCAGTTTTCGAAAATGTGGGTCGAACCAGCTCTCTAGCATGCTTCCACTCGGCGCCATTCATGAAGAATATACCTTTGCCGAAGAAAGGAGTAGAATGTGTGGTAGAAGCTTTACCCCAGTCTTGAAAGGCAAGTGCGGTGACTTGTTGAAAATTGCGTGCTTCCATCGTATTGATAATTTTTGCGCCTAGGAAATGTTCTTCCCATGTTTTTCCATACAAACCAAAGTGTTCCATGTATAGATCCATTAGGCTGCCATCCTTGGTGGCGTCTGTTCGTGATTTTACAAGCTCAGACTCCTTTGCTTGAGGATATGATGGAGGAGGCTCACAACCATGTTGTTCGATAGTCTTACGAGCTGCTCTAGACGAGACGAGCCGGCTCGAAACATAAACGAGCAGAATGAAAGGTACAACGTACACGAACGTGGGCAAGAAATCGAACATGGTGAGAGTCAACCGATGAGAGGCAGAGTCACTTGCGAAATAAGAGCCTCCACAGGTCCAGAAGTCTCTTGTTGAGGCAAGGTCTCAAGACTTTTGCGTTTATCAAGAGATTAGAGGAGTGAAGGTAGTTCTGGATTTCCCTACGTATTCTTTGAGATGTTCAGGTAGCTTCAACGCCACGCGGAAATAAATCAAAGCTACTGAGCTTACAACCATAGAAGACCAGGTGGAACGTTATTGAGCTGCGTAATCTGCCATTTGATGGTTTGCTTTTCAACCATGTACAATGTGTAATTTATCTCTTATCTGACCTGCCGTTCTCGGCTATCGACAGGGGTATGCCGAGGATTATTAGGCCGACAACCATACATATTGCATGACATTGCCACCAACATACATATGTGCATTTTGCATCAAACTAGGTAAGATCTGCAAATCAACATCCAGATACCGTTGGGGACTTGTAGTCACGCAAATGCTTCATTTTGGCGGTCGCTATAATCAACCTCCGGCTTACATATTTGCGATATCCCTTGTCTGTAGGGTTTTGAGATCCGGTGCAGAAATTGAGCTGGCCGTTTTAACCTTGAAGAAGTGAGGGATCAATAGAACCATGCAGTGTCTACTCAACACCCTTTTTAACATGATTTGGAAAATAGTATTTGAATTCCAAGTGGTGTGCCGTAGAAAAGAAGGCGCTCTCGAGGCTCTTAATAAGTTTCGCTTGACTCATGGGGCAATGAAGCCTACTTTCACGTCTTTCTACAATGGCTCTGCAGGAGTATAAAATTGTGCAGCAAGATGATACAGATCATAGCATCGAGACTTTGATGTATCTCAATTTACAGCGACAACTTCGTTACTTCAAAGGAGTTTCTTTCGCTCTCGGCATTTTCCTTTCATTTTCGCTGTTGTTTAATGCGCTGTGGGCTCACCAGACCTTGCAATCGATGTCGATACCCATATTAACACCCACCAAATACAGTATGCTGCTGGGATCTATTAAATACTGGTAAACTTAGCTAACAAAGCTGGCAGCTGGTCTTGTGCGAAACATATCGACTCCTTTCATCATAGACAACCTGTTTACCAATGAGAATAGAACTATTGCAGATGCAGCTTGGAGCTCCCCGGATCTTGATTCGGAAGTCGGACTCGTGGCTTTGACAGACGAGTACGCCAAGTCGAAAGGACTGCTTCCGGCACAGCGCTGGCCCTGGGATCATTCGAAAGGCATCTACGTTCTGAACGGTTTCCACAACCTTCACTGCCTTGTAGGTATAACGGCGACTTACAATCTTATATCGCTGACACATCTTGGTAGCAACTTGTCCGAAACTTAGTTCTCGAGGCATACGATAATGTGCCCCTAACATATCCACTCGAGCATGTATCTCATTGCCTAAATGTACTTCGTGAAGAAGTAATGTGCAATGCCGATGACACACCAAGATATACTGGTCGACTAAATTCTGAGAAAGGAAAGAAGCATCCAACATCTGGAATTGGTCAGACAAGAATGTGTAACGATTGGGGGAAGCTGAGAAGCTGGGCTGTAGCACATTCAGGCTGCTTCCGAGCTATAAACGAAAGCACACCAAATTTCCCCACTATTGAACGTTATAAATTTTGTCCGGAGGGGATGAATTATTCTTCTCAAGCACCCTGAGCAAGAATGATACACCCGTGCAGTTATCGCAGAAAGGCATTGCTAATAAGGACCTGCGATCTGGTCGTAAAAATCTCTGCGACCATTTGATTCATACTGAAAATGTAGCTAGTTTGACCTGCCACCAGAGTTCCAGACAGACAGAAGAATCCATTTCAAACGTTTCTCATGCCACTTGGCACTGTTGATTTCATGTTTGTTGCTCTCATAACCTTCAATACATCTTCCACACTGATCTTGGGCAGAATTACTGTATGTGACGGGATTATCTGTATCGGTTATCATTTATGTGAGGTTTGTTAGAGATCACCAAGTGCCAAGATTCTGTATTTTCTGCTGATTACAAAAGAGACTAACCTTAACTTGAGCCTTGATTAAATCGAAGCTATTACGTAATAATTAGATATAGTATTGGCCATTCAAGTCACCATCTTTGACAGTTGAACATAGCATATTCAAGAGGTGTCCAAGATCATTATTTCTGTATCTTCATTTCCATTTTATTTTCAGGGTCATTCCATAAGATCAATTACTGCTCACTGACAACCTCGGTAAGATTAAACTTAGGTGAGCGAACGGTCTCCGATGAGGTCAGAATCATCCTGAATGAGATGGCCACTGCAAATTGCTTCTCAACCCCAGCGGCAATTGTTTTGCTTCTTAAAATCTCCATGCATTATACGATTACAGAAGTTGACCATGTTAACTAAGATGGTTTCTAAATCAAATGGAAGTGGCTTAAATATGCCGATCAAGCATTTCAAAATGCTTCTAAATAAATGAGATATTGGTTCAATTTAGATTCATGCTTTCCTTCTTACATATTTCTTACAGTCTCGAAAGTCTTTGCTATGCCCCTTAGAGTTCTCTCTATTCTGTATCATCCGGGTGGAAAACCAATGCCCTAACCTCAATACTCTCTCTCTTCTGCTCTCCCTCATGTTCGGGATTCACAAACGCACTATGCGGAACACGTCTCGCTCTCCCATCAGTCTTGCTATCAAAACACTTGATCAGAAGTACCTCCTCGGGTGTCTGCTTATACAAATAGTTCCATTTATGACCCGGAGCATGACGCACAGAGTAAGTTTCTCCTTCGCGATCAGGATAGATAAGTTTGATTGGAACAAGATCTTTGTCATCAACTGAATTGGCAGCAGCAACACCAAGGGGATCTTTGAGAATTGTCTTGATGGGTCGCCAAACATTGATGATTTGAAAACGTCCTTTGAGAAGTTTCTCGGCTTCCTCAGGAAGATGATGGGTTACGCGGCGGGGGCTGGCGGCATAGGATTGATCGATGTGAACGCGTTGAACAGGGCCGCGGACGACAACTGGGGTGGGATTCTTATTGATTGAATCAGCAGATACAGGTGCTGGGGCTCTCGTATCAAGAGCTTCACGACGGATTGTGTGGTCAAAGATGAAAACTTTGGATGCTCCGGTCCTATTTGCTTGTTAGTAGGCTGTCCAGTTTGAATGCAAGCGCGCGGAGTAAATACTGACTCTCGTTTCAACAATTCTTCGGTTTCTTTATAGTAGTCACTCTTGATCTTCTCATCATCCACAAAATCTTTCTCCCGACTAATATGGTTTACGACCTGGAAACCGGTGGTGTCCAACGTATACTGGTCTTCTGAACCGCGGATATCGTGGACAGTAACCTCTACCGAATGAACGGGACGATCATAAGTGTTAGGCTTATTCACGTAATTGGGCTCTGGAGGACTTCCATCTTCTGGATCAAGGTAATAATTCAAAACTCCTTTTATATCGTGAGGTGTAGTGGAGTTGGTTTCGAGCTTGGTGATATGCTCGGAGGGAGCTTGTTCGGTGAGTGTGGTGGACATTGTGCTAATGAATTTTCTGGGGGTTAATATTTCCAGTCAAGTCTGTTCAATTGTATGATCAAGAGTCTCTTGAAATTGTGGATGTTTTACCACAAACTTCGGATCTTGCAAGTATAAGTACTATTTTTACAACGAGATGAATTGACGTTAAGCACCAAGAAGACCAATATAATTATTAATTCAGTATGATTTCAAAGCACGTCTATTATTCAGATGTTTATTTGACGCTTTCTTCAACCCCGCATTCTTGTGCATGTTTGACGAGAATGGCGCAATGTCATGTTTTAAATAGAATTTGTGGAATGCGAAGGAAGTTTACCTACAACCCGCCGTTAGTCTCGGAAGGAGTCGAGTCAATTTGGTCTCCCATTCCTTAAATTCGGTCGAATCTCACATAAACCCCCTCAAAAAACATCCAACATCTAACATTTGATTTCAAAGCTCATGACAAAAGCAGATAAGAGTTTAGGCAGTTTATTTCAAGGAATCACAAGGCCCGTCGTTTTCCGACGAATCACAAGGGGGGACAAGAGAGCACGCAATTGTTGCATGAGATGATATATAGGTGCTGATCTACATGCAAGCTATTTTGTGTGGCTATGATTCAACATATGTCTTATGTAGTTCATATGGCATCATTGATATGGCTGGGCTTCGGTGGTGGGATGATGGTGAAATTGGGGGAGGGTGAAACATGATGGTGGTTGAGCTGCTATTGATCTAAAAATCGAAGATTGCTAAAGATATAGATTTTATATTGTAGAAATTTACTTCCAAGTCTGAGCCTGCTCGCTGAAGTATTTCTTTGCTCTTTTATGATTGAGTCCATTCTTCTGTCGTCGAATATTGCAATTCTATGTTCCGGGTCGTCACATTCCAACGCGATAACGACTTTACTCGTGGCTTTTATCTCAATACCATGTAATTGTCTGCAGTGTTGTAAGACTTTGCGATGCTAAATCAGTATAGTTATCTAATACCAGCGTATGAAATCATGCGATCGTAGTTGCGCTCTGCAATATCCCCCAAAATGTCGACACCAACAAGTTCCGCCGACTCATCAGCCCTCGAGTCCGAGCCTCTTCTCTCCTCCCGCTCAACCTCTGTCAACTCCCTTTCCCCTCCGCCATCCAAGCTCTCTCGCCAAATAGAAGACGACACTATCCCAGAAACTAGCACTTTAGGTCGTAACCTGTCCTGGTCGAGCGCCTACATACTCGTCATATCCCGAGTAATCGGTTCCGGGATTTTTGCAACACCCGGACCAATCCTCAAAACAACCGGTAGTATCGGTCTTGCCTTGCTTCTCTGGGTTGCTGGTTCTATACTTGCTTGGCTCGGTCTTCAAATTTCTTTAGAATATGGTTGTATGCTTCCTAGATCTGGAGGCGAAAAAGTATACCTTGAGTTTACTTATCCACGACCTCGATTTCTTGCCAGCACGCTTGTAGCTGTTCAAGCAGTACTGCTAGGTTTTACAGCAAGTAACTGCATCGTTTTTGGCGAATATGTGCTTTTTGCTTTTGGAATTGAGGGTACGGAATTAGGGCAAAAAGCCATCGCCTTGGGACTCTTGACCTGGATAACAATCGTCCATGGATGCTTCCTCAAAACGGGAATGTGGATTCAAAACTTCTTAGGATGGATTAAAGTAGGTCTAATCCTCTTCATGGCTCTAACCGGAATATTCGTCGTGGTGTTCGGTATAAAGCTTCCGGAAACAGGAGCTCAAGTCCCTACATTATCCAGACAAGGATTTTCCTGGGATGGACTTTGGACTGGTTCAAATTGGCATTGGGGAACTTTGACAACTGCTGTTTTCAAAGTTTCGTATTCTTATGCAGGACTGTCCAATTTGAATAATGTTCTTAACGAGGTTAAGGACCCAGTCAGAACGTTAAAAACTGTTGCGCCGGCTGCCTTATTTACAGCTTGTTCGTTATATCTATTAGCCAATTTTGCGTACTTATCTGTGGTTCCGCTGGAGGAGGTGAAAGAAAGTGGACAACTTATTGCTGCCTTGTTTTTCGAGAGAGTTTTTGGTGATGTAGGGGGACGGATCTTATTGCCATTAGCTGTGGCGGTTAGTGCGGCCGGAAATGTTATGGTTGTTACTTTTACACTCGTAAGTTCTTAATCATTCGTCTCGCGATCTATGATTCAGCATCCCCCAAAACTCAAATTAACCCTGCGTCATTAGGCTCGCGTAAACCAAGAGATAGCCCGTCAAGGTTTTCTCCCTTATTCTAAGTACCTTTCCTCCTCAGCTCCCTTCGGTGCACCCCTCGGCGGTCTAATAGTCCACTACATTCCCTCCTTCCTTGTCATCGCTATACCTCCTCGAGGTGACGTCTACAACTTCATCCTAGACGTTGAAGGTTATCCGGGTCAATTCGCAGCATTGGCTCTCTCTTTAGGACTGATCCATCTTCGTTATAGTCGACCAGACCTGAAAAGACCTTTCAAAGCATGGTTGCCGGCTGTTTGGATTAGAATAGTGGTTTGTTTGGCGTTGATCGCGGGCCCCTTTTTTAAACCGACGAAGGGAAGCGCGGATGTGGGGTTTTGGTATGCGACATACGCTGTTGTGGGGGTGGGAATCATTCTTTTTGGGGTGGGCTGGTGGGCGGTAGTGTTTTGGGGATTGCCACGGTGGGGTGGGTATAGAGTTGAGGAAGAAGTGGAGATTTTGGGAGACGGAACAAGTGTTACGAGGTTGGTTAGGGTAAAGGGCGAAGAGTGAAGACTGATATAATAGCACTGCGAAGGTTCATTTGAATATTTTGAATGGAAATTGGGTCTGTAACGTAAACATGGCGCGATCCCGGCCAATCTGGTTAATTTGTTACCGGAACAAAGTTCGCAATATTTTCTTCATGCGATGTGAATTCGTAATGGGAACATTGAAGCTCCTGTTGGATAGCCGGGCAGCTGATAATGCCTCGAAGGTTAGAGATCCTGGGCCTCATGGGTAGCTATGAGACAAGAGTTCCTTGGGCCGAATGAGGCTACTTAAAAGCATGACAAAATGGCAGATAACAGGAACGTCACGTCAAGCCATTTGAACATTGATAGAACTAGTACGTGACAAGAGATGAGGGTCCAATTTCGTCTAGAATTCAACTACTTGAAGAACTTACAATGAAGTGACCCGTTCCTGGTACGAAATAAGCACAGCACAAAACTGTGATATTTTTACTTGAAGCTTTGCTTGGTGTGGTCCTAGGAAAGTGGGATGGGTATCACAGATAGGAGAATTGTTCAGTGTTCCAAAATTTCCTTTGTTCGGCAAGATAAATGCAACGTTGTGGTGTAACAGAGCTTGAGAGGTGGAGGGAAGATGAAAGACAAAACAACTCGTGGTAAAGTTCGGTCATTTAAGGAGAGTAATCTAGGCTCCTTTACCATTCCCAAGATTCGCCAACTTCGCAATACGAGACTCTGGCATTGACTTGTAGATAAAGACTTCTTGCTTGCATTTGGAACAGCTATCTCCAGTCTCGCATTCGAGTTTGTCCCTTCACAATCATTCTCGTTATAATTTATCCAGGACTATCAACCAATCCTTTCTAGCCCATTATTGCATCTCATTCTGTTATTAGTTCGAAGTCTTTTCATTCCCGCGGATGATCTCGCTCCGCAGATTTGCAGAGAGGAAAACTCTTCCAGTTATTTTGCTCGACTCTGTGATCTCGCGGGGCGGGCGATGTGTGGAAAGCAGGTGTTGACTGGTGAATTGATCGATATCTATTATCTATTGGGTTGAGCTATGGTTTATAATTAAGTCATGTCGCATACCAATACAGATACCTACTGTTGTTGTAGGTACAGTAATGCCAATGAAGAATAGTGGTACAAAAGTTGTTTAAACAACAGCAACGAAACCACATCAGAGAAGTGTCGTGTTCACCAGTTCAGTTCACCAGTGGGTGCACGGACTCACGGGACAGCGTGACAGGAAAGCACAATTTCATACCAAAAAGAGTGATTTTAATAATTCATTCAAAATTCAATAAATGATTGAATTCTTTGGAAATTGATATGTATAGTTTTTCAAGCATCAAAAACTAGTTTATTGAAGAATTGTTCTAGAAAAGTGAGATTTGAGCTCAAAAATTCAATGGTGCGTTTTCCCACCAAAAATTTTGGTAGGAGATTATATATTCTATTATCAAGACTTCAATTTAGATGATTTTAGTTTAAAATTTATTCTGTATAGAACGTTTATGCTTGAAAACTATACATATTAATTTCAATCAAATCGAATAATAATTTCAATTTTAATTGAATTATTAAAATCGCTCTTTTTGATGTGAAATTGTGCTTTCCCTCTTGAGTGTCCCGTGAGTCCGTGCACCCACTGGTGGTTCGTGTAAGATGCTTAGTCATCAGAAATTCTTATCTGGTGATCCGCCAGATCCTCTGACTCTCGCGTACAAATCGCGTTCACCTCATCTATCATCATAATCCCAATTGTTTATTTGTGCACTGCTGATAGCCACAATTCTATTCATCCATTAAGAAACCGCAAGTGAATCCGCCTCGTTAAGTAGCGGCTACCAAAGGAAACCGCATGTGCAATTCAATCCCAGCCTATCTGGAGGCTCTTCGAGTCATGTTCTTGGGAATGTTCTTTGCTCGCCAGGCTCTCGTATTTCAAAGAGTTAGTGTATGTTGCCAAGCTTTAATATTGAGCTTAAACTTTTCAGCCTCAGTAGTGGGGAACAGATCGAGACCACAGGTGATAGCTCGTGGAAGCTTGCTAGCTAATCGATTCAGCCGTCGGGAAAAAAGAGGCGCTATAGTTGAACATTTACGGCTCGAGTATTTATATCCAACTATGTGTAAGTTTGTATGCCTGATTTTCAATACATTGTTGCCAAGTGCACAAGTACAGCTGGGCAATCTGAAACATTGTTGATATCTCAATCCAATGACTACTCTGGGAGTCTCGAGCTAGCTATTGCCAAGAAGCGAATTTCCAACATCGATACCGTGAAATACCTTAGTGGGGGTTGCTGGTTTTTTATTATAGTATCTCAACTATAAAAATTTATTAGAACTATGATGCACAAAATTTGGTATATTCACAGAGTTGTATTTAGTACTATAATAGAATCGAATACTGTATATAAAAATAAAACTATATAGAGAAACGAACTGTATATAAAAGCAAAACTATATACGAAAGCAAAACTGTATACGCGAAACAAAACTGTATACGCGAATAAATAAATAAATAAATAAAAATAAAATAATCCCCACTTTTCTTTTCCTAAAAAATATTACTATTATTCTTCTTCTTTTTCTTCTTTTCTTATTCTTTTTATTCTTTCCTTATTCTTTTTATTCTTTTCTTATTCTTTTTATTCTTTTATTCTTTTTTAAATTATAAATAGTATATACTACCACTACACTACTAACCCATTTAATTTATTTTTGATAATTAAATTCAATTAAATTAGATTATATAATCGAATTCATTTTTATTAATATATATCTCATCTAAATTAATATTGATTTCCTAATATAATACTAATTTTTTAATATAATATTATTTTTCTAATATAGTATTATTTTTCTAATATAGTATTATCTTCCTAATACAATATTATCTCTCTAATATAGTAATATTATAATTATAATTTAATTTTATATATAGTTTTTCTATATATACAGTTTTGCCTCGCGTATACAGTTTTGCCTCACGTACACAGTTTTGCCTCGCATACACAGTTTTGCTTTCATACACAGTTTTACTTTTTATACACAGTTTTATTTTATATATATAATCTTTTCTTTTAAATACAATTTATACACTGTAATTAAAAACCAGCAACCCCCACTAAGGTAGGCAGAGAAAAGTTCTAGGTGTAAAAACTGTCACAATGAATCGAACTCCCCAATATGGCTTTATTACGGGATCATTGTGCACGATCATGGAAAAAGGCTTTCGCCTCGTAAGTAAACCAATAAGATTCTAGTTTGCATAGTCTTCTTGCTTCTCAGAAATAATGGATGTATTGTCGTCGGTCTCTATTATGGATATTTAAGAATGCGGTCTCATCCCCAGTTCTGAAAAATGCACCTTTGATTCGAAGAACATTTTCTTATATATATTCTCAAGTTCTCGGTTGTTTCCGATTTTGTTCATTTTTTCTCGGAGCAAATTGCATCTGCTCAAATCAAGACTATCATAATTTCCATCTTCCACCATGCTTCTGTCTATAATTACAGTGCTTTTTGTTGTCTCGCCTTTTAGTCTCGCTGCTTCAACCACATGTACAACGTCGAACGCAATTTCTTGGGCCGCAAGTGGTAGCACAACCGGAGGAACAACAAACGGCTCTTCAGGCACATCTTCTTCAGATCCTTGTGCCGAATATGCAAACAATCCAAAAGCTTTACAGGTATGCTATGAGATGCAAAGCCAAGGTGAATGCAATGCTGTAGGAGGATCTGCTTGCGGCGGCGACGACGACGATGACGACGATGATTTGATTCGAAGGACGCGTGAAACTCTCTCTTGTTACAGCGATGAGACATGCTACGAATATACCGATGGATCATTGTTCTGTTTGAATGAAGAGACTGGTGAGCTCTCCGACATGGAAATACTATGTTCTGCAAGATTCATATTAACGAATGAAACTAACTGGTCTTATAGGGGAATATGCAGATGACGTAGGGGGCTCTGGAAATGTCTATACTGGCGTTTATACAGGGCCAGATGGATCGCAAACAACAGTCGAGGGTGCATCCGCAACAGCCGCAACATCATCAAATACTAGAAGTTCTAGTAGCAGCGCGACGGATTCAGACACAAGAACGACCTCTAGTGCTGCCACAGCTACGTCTTCCCCAATTTCCTCGGGCTCGAGGCCTGTCGGAGCCACTGGATCTGTTACTAGTTCTACGACCGCTACTGCACCAACTGCAAACTCGGGTATTGGGAAAGTCAGGCCTGGGTCTGCCATGGGAGTTTTGGGCTTGATCGTAGCATTGATTTAGTGGTTTTACTCTTAGTATATCACTGGAGTGGCAATATCTTATCTTTATGACATTGCCGCCTTTTGTATCTTATCTAATATACCTGCAAAAGCGTCGTAATTTCCACGGCAAGTCATGCACAAATTTCAAGACGAGAGAAATATAGAGCATGGATCGAAGTTCAGACATGCCATTGGCAGACCATTGGTTCAAAATCTCCAGAGATTGATACACTTCGTGGAACTCCTTTCTGTCTTAAGGTTTTTACCTTGGATAGAGGGTTGCAGCATGCTCATTTCCAATTCGCTCTCATTTCATCGTATCTTTTCCAATGCCTTCTTTCATTTCACAAGTTGCATAATCTACATGTATATGGCCAGGCATTAATACTGTGGATTGGATTGATCGGCATATATCTTTCCAAAAAGCAAACCTGTTCTTTTCACCCATACGGACTCTGGAGAGCGATTTCTTTTTCGGACAAGGCCCAGAATGACAATGAATAATCAAACGCCTCGGAATCCAACTGTCCACGCATTTTTGGATATACCTCAAAAAGACCGGGCTCAGAACATCTTACTTTCGCAATATGTGCGTAGCCCGAATTAGTGGAGACATCTTGATTACCTTTGTATGTCGTCACCCCAATCTTACAACACACATGATTACCCCGCGTCCACTAATTTCAGTGATACTGATAATTAATAGTCATTAGTAATACCTCACAGAATATGCAATGCACCCAGCAAAAGTCATGCCAATACTACGCTCATTACTTTTTCGTCAGAGGTCAATCAGATCCTAGGATCAAGCATAGTGACGGGAAGGATGGATGATACTCGCTTAAATCATTAATCATTGGGCGTTTCGCGTTTGCAAACGGAGTTTGCCCATCCAACTAATTAATTGTTCGGTTGACTGAATATCTCAACCTCCGAAAAACGCCTCATGGAGTAGGTGGCCGCAAGGATTTACATCAAATGGACAACAAATTCTGAGACTTGCCGAGCTCTGCTTGATTTCTTTAATTGAAAGGCATGCAGTAAAGCAAACAACACTTACCGCCATTCTCTATTATGTTTTCCCAGTGAAAAATTCGATGACTTGAAACGGGTTGCAACATTCACCGATGGGATCATGCTTTATGATGACCTGCAAGATTTTGTAGAAGCGGTGGGCATGATAGTTGATATTCATTCGCTGTACGTTGATTGAAATGTATGCAGTCAGTGAGCCTCGTCGGCAACATACATCTCATACACTTTGCTCTTTTTCTTGCACGTGAATCGCGGAGCTCTTGCTCCTCAAGTCCTTAGTTTGAGGATATATATTGGCCTTTCTTCCACCCCTCAAATATTTTCCCTTATCAAGCCATTTTATCACAAGACGCATAAATACATACACAGATACAACCAGCCAAAAACTGTGAGTAGTTACTTCTTCATTCTTACACTCCCTTGTGTGTTCTAACTCATTTAAACATCTTCCATTCATATTACTGACCGCTCAACGAAACATTCAAGCCTCAACCTTCTACCTACAAAAAACCCAAGAACTCATAAACATGCCCACAAAAATGACCAAAGAACTTGCTTCACATATCCAATCAACTCAAGTACGTTTCTTCATTTCTTAATTTCTGCCTACTTATTCTACCCAATAGTCTCCGTGGTATATCACCGCAGCCCGAGCTAACACATCATACAACAGGCCCAGGGCGGTAAAGACATGTCCTCTTCAGGATTTGCGGCGCGCGCCCAAGGAGCTGGCGATCGTAATGCAAACACTGGTGGAGCCGCAGTAGGCCAGGGTACTGGTGGTGGAAATGCCGGTCAAACTGGAACAGACAAGAAGTAGGACAGGGCGAGATTAAAACCCAAAATCTTCTTGGTCCAAAAGGCAAATCAAAAGTTTGTTTGATGTCCCGATTATTCTGTTTGTTGGCAGCGTTGTGGAATCGGATTATGAACTTTGGAGGAGACAATGAGAATGGGTAATTTGGATAGGTGATTGAACGATTTTGGATCGGAGATCCTAGCCATTCGTTTTGAGATAGCAATGCAACGCGATCATTGCTAAATTTTTTGCCTTCATTTGGCTGCGTGAAAAGTGATCAAATGTCTTCAATACTACTGTTGTCTGAACATCCAAATGGTTTCTTAATTTTGGAAATGCATACTCCACCAGCTTTGACTTCTCGTTTCGGAATTCCATTGAGTTATACTTATACACTTGCATTCGAATTGGGAACATATATAAATGTCTAAAACTGTGTGTATTCATAAGGGTGCGAAGGACGCGAAAAACTAGTACATCGTATTCGCTTACATCTACCTCGACACCTTGAGTCTATCTATCCCTTCACTAATTTCTCGCTTACTCTGCTATATCCCATCTTTTATCCGCACTGAAAACGGGCAAAATTCTCACAATACATTGCTACTTTATGCAACAGTGGCGTGAAAGTTGTGTTTCGTCACGACCTCACCTTGAAGGACCTCCGTCTCCGCAAACACTGAATACGTAGTAAATACATGTTGGATTTCCTCGAGGTATATCCGTATTCCATCGAAATCAAGATCAGAGTCAACAAGCACATTCACTTCACTAATGACAATATAAATTACATTCCTGCCTGTGAACTCCTGCCAAAACTCTCACACGAAAACTCTTCAAAGTTGATGAGAGATAAGCATGAATCCAATCGAATTATTGAAGTATTTCTAGCTAGTGAATCCAGTAAAATCTGACTCTCCGTATCGTCCCCTTTCCACGTCCCCTCTCCACTCTTGCACCAACAGGTTTAAGAATGACAACAAACAACAGCAAAAATCAGACTGCACCGATTGAAACCGGTGAACATAGAACAGGTGAAATTAATGACAACAGAACAAAATACAAAATCAATGACAATGATGAAAGTCTCTAAGCCCCGCCCCAAAGCCATATTCCCGTCTCTAGTACTACTCTGCTCCCTCCATGCATCTTAATCCATATCGACAACCCTTGCTTGTCACTTCACGATTTCCATCACGAATAGAAACAGACAGCCATTATACTCTGCCCACATCTTAGTTGCAATCTTAATGATCCCAAAACTACGGAATACCTAAGGTTTAAATAACCTCATCTTGCGTCCCAACAATCTCTTGAGTTATGGTGACTAGGTTAGGTTAGGTTAGGTCATGCGCAACGTAGGTAATGTGAATTTGCGCGCATGCACAAGAGAGGAGGTTTATTCACTAATTCCTCCTTATTAGACCCCTCTTTCACCCCTCATCTCTAAGCCTTACCCCGCCCTGCTTGACATTCACCCTCTCTATTCTCATTCTTATCTACACTTTCCTCAGACTGATATTTGAACAAGCTACCTATTGTCTGTTCGTTTCTATCTATCCAGCATAGAGTTTTCTCCTATCGGTACCTCAACCGATGTTGCATAAAATCCAGATGAGATATACATTACGAATGTGAGAAAGAAGACCATGCCATGAGCTAATATCAAATTCATCGGTAGGGTTATCGGAGGATATCCTTAATGTAAAGGTAAAGAGACAAGATTGATTAACGCGTACTGAATAATTAGATGACAACAAGAACTACCTAGATACTCAACTCCTGATCTCCAAATGAGAACGAACAATGGTAAAAATAAAAATGACGACAACAAAATAAACACTAGCCCAAACCCTTACCCTAATCAGTCTTTCCAACCTTAGGTAACTCTCACCATCTTTCCTACCAAATCCATCCTCTCTCCCACTCTTGAATCGGCTTTCAGACTCCAGACTCCAGACTCCGAAAATCACCAATCCTTTGACAGGTATAGTTCACCAATTCCCATCCATAAGGATCAACTCGTCGATCTTCATGTAGGTAACCTCTTCATTCACTTTAAAGAATTCGAAATGCATTATCAATCGCATCCATGAGAGAATGAATATAAGATAGCTGTACCTATTCACTCCTTACGCAAGCTTTTCCTTATGACTCCTCAAGTCAGGTAGGTGCCTTTAGCTTTCCCCTTAGGACCCCGCTTCCTCCAAGGTTACCCGCGTATTTTCTCTGGGTAGGTACCTAGGTAGGCCTACAAAATCAATACATAAATACAATCTCCTCCATCGACTTTGCTCCCCCGACCTAGAAAGCTCAAAAGTGATGGCTGGGCATTCAGAGAAAGGAGGCTCGACAACGAAGATCAGACATCGTGTGCGAGTTTTACACTGGTATTGGTATTGAGGTATTCCATTCCAGCAGTGTGTCTTCTACACAAGGAACTAACTAACTTCTTTGAGAGGAAGAGAAAACATCCGATCAGCGTATCATAGTATGACAACATAGATTTTCCTAAAAATGATGCAGATGATAACCAAACCAAACTAAACCAAACCAACAAACTGAATGAATGACAATGGAATACCATACCTACCTAGTTCTAAAACTTCCCCTCCCCTTCCCTTCCACTTTCCTACTTCTACCCCTCCAATTATAAATTATAAATCCAGCTCTTCCTTCCCATTCCCATTCCCATTCCCACTTACTCCATCACGGGCTCTTTCTACTATACCCTCCAACCCAACCTCCTACTCACTAGGTAAGTTACTTTCACAAATCCTATCCTATTACCGACCGTGAAATCAGCAACCTACCTACCCTACCCAGCAATCTTTCTATACCTACCTAGGTACCTACGCACAAACAATCCGTAATTTTCACAAGCCCCAAGACTACTACTACTGTGACCACCTTCCGACGTACATGGTACCTTTGCTGACAACCTTCAGCCCCCCACTGATCATCTAAATTTAAATTCTCTTGCGAAATACATAAGGTTAATTCCCCAGACATGTCTTGGTATTAATTAGGTAGGTCTGTTCCTACTCGTACTTTCAGCGATACACACACTCAAGCGTAGGGACGATCGATGAATCTAATCTGCAGTGTTTCCAACTCAGCATGGTTGTAGCTAAGATCTACCTTTTGAGACTCGCCTCGCACAGATGCATGCATGAACAGGAGAAGCATGCCATCTGGCACCACAGTGCGAAAAAACTCCCCTCGGTTGTACCGGAAGCATTTCACGAGAACAGATTCTCGATGGTAGCATACACAGGTACATCGCATGGAAGTTTAATCGATTCGCTAAAATCGATGAGTGATGAGACTCTTTAGGATTCTCCATCATTTATCTGGCCTACCTTGATTGGCCCGTTAAAGGAGAAGTGATTGTACCTAGCGAAGGGGAAACCAACATCTTCCCGACCTTTTGAATACGACGAAGGATAAAAAAAGGATTAGAAACCTCAGAATCTGTATCTTTAATCCATGAATATTTTATCACGGGACACTGATAATAGAAGAAGGAAAGTAATCACCAAGAATATTTCCCCCAAAAGGATTCATATTTAACATTCATTTTTGACATCCCAGAAGTAAAACTTTAACTCAAAAAATGATGAGAACCTCAAATACACAGGATAATACAACATCACATCACATCAAACATCATTACAAATAACACAGTCTTTTCCCGGTTGAAGAGGGTATATTTTACTACTTTTATCTTATCTACCATCCTCCATCAAATAACCACTCATTGTCGTCCTCCTTAACCATCATCAAGATAGTAAAGTTGGTTTAACGTCACAAGAGTCCCAAAATCCCTATCCTCTTTTTCTTATTTCCTATCATATTTCATGTCATTCATGCGCCACGCCACCAAGATGTCCGGTTGATGGATCATCTGTTACCCACCGAGGGACTACCGCCCTATGCTGTTGAAAACTCCCAAGTAACGCTCACAATAACAAATCGCTTTTTGTCTTAAATGCCCCAACCAAGAAACGCCGATGTTGAAGTCGTTCCCATTGGTTAAAGAACCGCAGACATTATAATAAATAAAAAAAGGAAAAAGCTCATAACATCATCTTCTAATCACATCCCCTATTAAAATATGGATGGGAAGAGAAATTTATGCCTTGTTGGCATACTTTTGACGGTAAAACTTGGCAGCGTTAACCATGTTGGTCAAAGCAGCCTTAGTCTCAGCCCATTGACGAGTCTTAAGACCACAATCAGGATCAATCCAAAGTTGCTCTGGCTTGAGGAATTGCAACATCTCCTCAATTCTGTCCTTGATCTCTTGCTCGGATGGAACACGAGGAGAGTGAATGTCATAAACACCTGGACCAATGTGACGTGGGTAAGCCTCATCAACAAAGACCTTGAGGAGCTTAGCATCAGACTTGGAGTTCTCAATGGAGAGAACATCAGCGTCAAGAGCAGCAATGGCGTGGAAGAAATCCTGGAACTCAGAGTAACAGAAGTGAGAGTGGATTTGAGTGGAATCTTGAACACCAGAGACGGAAAGTCTGAAAGACTTAACAGCCCAGTCAAGGTAAGCCTCACGCTCCTTTCCACGACGAAGAGGAAGACCCTCACGAAGAGCTGGCTCATCGACTTGAATGACGTAAACACCAGCAGCCTCGAGATCAACAACCTCATCACGGAGAGCCAAAGCAAGTTGCTCAGCTTGGACGGATTGATGAACATCATCACGAGGGAAGGACCATCTCAAACAGGTGATTGGACCAGTCAACATACCCTTCATTGGCTTCTTGGAGATGGAGACAGCGTATTTGGACTCCTTAACGGTCATTGGTGCTGGGCGAGAGATATCACCAACGATGATAGGAGGACGAACACAACGGGAACCATATGATTGAACCCATGCGTGGGTGGTGAAGGCATAACCATCGAGACGTTCACCAAAGTATTGAACCATGTCGTTACGTTCTGGCTCACCGTGAACGTAGACGTCAAGGTCAAGTTCTTCTTGAACCTTGACAACATCTTGAATCTCCTTCTCAATGAACTTCTCGTACTCCTCAGCAGTGATTTCACCCTTGGTGAACTTGTTACGTTGGATACGGATCTCCTTGGTTTGTGGGAAAGAACCAATGGTGGTGGTTGGGAAAAGAGGAAGACCCAAAGCCTTTTGTTGTTGAGCAATACGTTCTGGGAACTCAGAGATTCTGTTGTAATCCTTCTCGACAATCTTGGATTGACGTTCCTTGACCTTGGGGTCGTTGGTTCTCTTGGAAGAAGCACGAGCTTGAATAGACTTGGCGTTAGCCTCGAGCTCGGCACGGACGGAAGCTGGTCCCTCAGTAACAGCCTTAGCGATGATG